AATTTGAAATGCAGTACTGCCCATAGCAAACCCACGCTTTTATGCGAATGCAATCATTTTCAATAGAACATTGGAACCACCCCCCACATTTCGCCCACACAATCACTTTGGAAATTCTGATTCGCTCGAGAACATTTATACACTCACATTAAGTTTAACAGAATACACGCATACACACACACAGGCAAGAACACACAAACAAGTATTCACACTCACTTTTAAGGTGAAGGTTGTGTGGGATTCGGTGCGTATGAGTGAATAGTGCTAGTGATTAAAGTGAGTAAAAACCGTGAGCACCAAAATATGAATGGTTCGGAAAGAAGAGAGTCGTGAAATAGTTGTAACTATTGTAACTACTCAAGGTTATGTGTAACTTTTTTGTAATTTACATGAATGAATTCTATATGGCACACGGCACAAGAAAAACGTTGAAATGGATTTTAGCTTCTCCGAACATTTTGTGAAAATTATTTCTCATTAATCCAGCACAGTGGATGCAATAGCGAAAAGTACTGATGCTGCCTTTTTTATGAATCCTCAAAATCACTTTCTTAGATATCAAAGGGACTCAGTTGTAAATATTTAAAGTAAGAATAACATAAAATTTATAAAATAAAGTGCTTTATAACTGCACTACATATACAAAATTAAGAAAATAACAAGACAAATGTGGTACATAATAAAACATGTGGTAAAAATCAAATTCATTTCTATAAAAAAATACTGAAATACAAAAAAAAAAACAAAAAAAAAATAAGAAAAACATTTTCGTTATCAAATATATTCATAAGGTTAACTGCTATATGAACAGCATTAATAGCATTGAACTCAGACAGCATAATATGCGGGTAGTAGCTTATTAAGGTTTATATTTCCACTACCGCTTTTAGTAGAATTGAATAAATACTATAAAAAATGAAACAATAATTTATTAAACGGTTGGAAACTGACATGGCCACTGCAATACTTTTAATATTTTTAGTTATGCAAGCGAATGCAGTGCGCATAATTAATCCGAACCGAAGAATTTTACAAGAACCGCCCCTTCTATTACCAAAGGACCGCAGTCAACATGAAGTGAAAGAGCATTGGCTGGAACAACGGCTTGATCATTTCGATGGGAACAACAATCAAACATGGCAAATGGTATTTGGAGAAATATTTTTTATTCATATGATTCATATTTCAGTAAAATCTAATTACTTAATCAATGAATGCAGCGTTACTTCCAAAATGATAAATATTATGAAGCTGGTGCACCACTCTTCATATTTATTGGTGGCGAATGGGAAATCTCGAAAGCCTACTTGCTTACAGGACATTTCTATGATATCGCTTTGCAACACCACGCAATGCTTTATTATGTGGAACATCGCTTCTATGGCAAAAGCATTCCGGAGAAGTAAGAATTAAATCGATTTTAAATATTAATTAGTTATTACTTTATCCTTGCTTGTTTAGTGATACTTCCTTAGAAAACCTAAAATACCTAAATATTAAACAAGCTCTAGCAGATCTCAATGTTTTTATTACAACACAAAAACAATCCAGAAACAGTATGACAAATAGTAAAGTTATACTAGCAGGTGGTTCCTATGCCGGAAGTATTGTGGCTTGGTTTCAGAAAATATATCCTGGTTTAGCAACCGCTGGTTGGGCCTCAAGTGCACCGCTATTTGCAAAAATGGATTTTTATGGTAAGAAATATTTTAAAATAAAACTTCTGCAAACAATTAAGAAAATGTAAAACCGAAATTCACTATGATTTTAAATTCTTTTAATTGGGTTTTGGAATTTCTAAATTATTACAAATCAATAAATATTGTTGTATTAATCAAGAATCCAAGTAAAAATAAAAGCATTCCTCCGGAAATAGCTGAATATACACATCTTATTGGTTGTGCTGTATCACTGCTTCCACCAATGATTATGATATCAACACAATGGATGAGTATTGAAATGAGTATTACGACGGCGACTTTTACGTAGTTATTAAAAAAGTCATTCAAATAAACTATTTAAACTATATAAAAAGTATTTCCAGTGATCATAATATGTTACCTTTCCTCTTCGCACTTTTGTGAAGGAATATAATAAATTTGTGAAGATATTTTTAACTCAGTGAAGAAAACATTAAATACCTTATTTGGGTGTAGACTTATTCATATACTTCTACCAATATTCTAATCAGCAAGACTAATTCAATTAAATTATGGATATTACTCTGATAGTCTGGATGTCTAATGATTAGCCCATTTTAATATTGGTACATATTTAATGTTATCTTTCGATTGTTGAGCTAATCTATTTAAATGTTATGCAAAATAAACTGTATTATATCTCCCATTAGCTGAGGTCTCAAACTATGATTTTTATAGTTTTTATTAATTGGAAATATAACTATAGAGATACACTTATAGTTAAATATTTTATAGATGCAAAACTTTTTAGGTTTGTACATCCAATCTAGTCAGTGTCAACAGTTCATTGTTCGAACTGTGTTATGGCTTGCATATATTGCTTCATAGAAGATATACTCAATATATCAATTGCAGTGTCTGACTGCTACTTAAGCAAGATGTCCTTACCGAAGATTTTTATCCGTAATTTTTTTCTTTTTTTTTTTAACAATAGATTTCCATCATTTCACTAAATTAATTCCAATTATATATTTATTTTAATCGTAATTTTTTAAAGAATATATGATAATTGCTGGGGAATCTATAAAACGAAAAGGTGGCTCAACTTGTTATAAACGAATAAAGACAGGCATGGAAGCTTTAGCTGCACAATTCAAATTGAATGCAAGTGATGAAATTATACATAAATTGATGGTTTGCGATAACTTTGATACCATGAATCCATTGGACATTGAAGCATTTTTTAATACTGTCGGCTACTACTTTTCCGAAGTGGTGCAAAGCTATAGGTAAAATCACTTAATAATTTCTGCATATTTAAAATCTAAAACTGTACAAAAAAAATTAAAAATACTTTGTTGTCACAGTTCATATATAAAGAGTATGTGCAAAAAGTTGCTATCTCATCAATCCAATGATACAGAGGCATTAACTACATTTCTAAGTGATATGTTCTGGTTGAGGGATACGAAGTATGATGCCTGCATCGATCTCTCATACGAAAGCACCAAAAACTTTTTTGCACAAGATAATTACGGCAGTAAGTAGAGCAACAAACTAACCAAACCAATTAAGATTTTGTCGTATACCTTCATAAATAATTCTTGTAATCTAGTGCGGCAATGGTACTATCAAACCTGCTCTGAATTCGGTTGGTATACCACAACAGCTACAAGGTATCATCATCCTTTCGCTAGTCAAGTGTCGCTTGGCTTTTTCCAGCAACTGTGCCGTGATGTGTACAACAACTCGTTTACTTCAGATACCATCTCTTCGAGCATAAACCAAACAAATGCTTATTTTGGTAACACAATTAACTGGGCGCTTGCTAACAACTACGAAACCACCTTTTTCACCCACGGCCAATTGGATCCGTGGCGTGCAGTTGGAGTGCAGAATGGCAGCAATGTCATCGTTATTCCAGGTACCTGTCATATTTTAATATTGTTTCTTCCTTTTTTTTGCTTATTTATAAACTCGTAAACGTCCGCAATGAGTGAAAATAGCATCATTTTAATTGCTTTTTACTTCTGTTATTGTTCCAGGCTATTCTCATTGCGCCGACCTGGGTTCAATCAACCTTAATGACAGTGTGGAAATGAATGTGACCAAATTGAAAGTAGCTCATTTTCTGAACCGTGCATTGCGTACTCCTGAAAATTAAAACCAAACAAATTAAAGGACTTAGAAATTCATTTAATGGTTAATTTGACTGCAAATTGTTGAGAAATAAAGCAATTTATTTTAATGTGAGTTTTGGCATTTCGTTTATTTAACCTTCAGGCACAAGGACATGATTAGAAATTCTTTATTGAAATAAAAAGAAAGAAAGTCTTGAGCAAGGATTGATTCTTATTTTCTTGAACAAAATTTTACATAACAAAACATTTCGAAATGAAGACAAAACCAATATTCAAATGGATATGATTTTTTATTAATTTTTTATTAATTCTTTATCATTCCTCTTGGATTTCAAGCATTTCAGAAAAACGAGCACATCAAAGGGGTCTTGTGGTAAATAGGAAAATAACAAAGTAATTTCTGTTAACCAACCAATTTCCTAAGCCTATTGGAACCGAATTTACTGCTGACAAATGTAAATTCTAAGTTATCAAAAACATTGTTTTATTGGCCACGAACGAACACCAAATATGACGTCAGCCTATAGATTCACCGAAAATCAGAGAGAAATAAAACCCTCTCACAACAAACAAAAATCACGCTCTACAAGTCTGTCATCATGCCAGAACTGTTGTATGGTACGAAAGCTCTTCCAATAACCAACAGCGTTGAGAAGGCGTTAGAAATATTTGAGAGAAAATTTTTTCGGTTGATCTATAGTTCTTTACGTAATGACATTGAATACAAAATTATATGGAATGGCAAGCTATATGTTATACGCTAAATCACTAGAATTGACTTAGTTAACCTTATACAAATTCAGTGGATTCGCTGGTTTAGTTATGTCGAAGAAATTCAAAAAATTTTCCGGCTAGAAAGGTGCCTGATTCAGTACTCGCTGGACATACTGAAGATATTCTCATCTTCGGTAAAAGTAGTAGGTGACCAACGATATGAAGATGCTCAATACAAGCAATTGGCGACAGTAAGGCACTAATCGAGCTGACTAGAAGAGACTTTAAGGATTTTTCTAAATCAATTCAGTCAATGACTTTATACTTCTATAGATTCATTACAAATTAGATAATATACATAGTTTATTATTTTGATTATGAAAATAATCCAATGTTAGTTAGAAATAATTAAAATATGAAAATATATGTATCGAGCAGGTGAAATGTCACTGCTGATATAAGGGAGAATTGGAATTGTTGCACTGCGCCAGATCTGGCGAATATGGTGTCTGAGTGATGACAGTGGTGCCGCGTTTGGTCAAAAAATCGCG